TCACGAAATAAACATTTTTCTTTCTTTCATTTTTCTTTTCGTAACGATGACGTAATGTACTGTCTACTTACCACGATAAAAAATTCACTTCTAACACTACCCTTTCAATAACTTTGCGTGACATTTCATCACTCAATATTAACGTCCATGCCTCCCGTCGACATGTGCATAACTCTCAAATGCTTTATCAATAGCTGGCAAACCCATGAATTCCCACAAACCGTCCACGCACTAACAGTTTCACGCCTCCGCAGAAAACGATGCAACTCTGCATCACACCACTCGCAGTCGATGTTTGCAGCTCGAAATACGACCCGCCCAGCAGTTCCTGGAACATGCGTGTAAGAGCGTCGATGAAATGTCACAGATGACAGCCAGGCAGAGGATCAGGAAGCGGCTGAACCTCAATTCGACCCGGCAGAGAGAAGGACGGAGGGAGGGAAAGAGAGAAGGAGAGATTCATTATTTGAACAGCGGCGCCTTTGGATTAAGTAATGACATTTCGCGTGCCGCGGATAGACAGGAGCAGCGTTCGGAAAGGGCGAGGAGATCACAAGCCGTGGCGCCTCCAGACACCGACAGCTCAGTGATCAAGGGACGCGTACGAGAAGGAACGTCCGCCCGCTGGCTCCACAACGCCGCCAGAAGAGCGCCGGCGAGGCAAAGACGGCTTCCGCTTGCGTGGGATTCGAACGCGTCTCACGAGCGGCGGCGAAGAATAAACAATTTTTAAATTGTTTCATTCTTTCCGATCTACCATCACAATATCAACATTTCTTCATTGATTATAGTGATTTGCACGTACCTCTTGCACGTATTGTCAATCGTAATGCGTGTGTATTTCATTTCAAAGGATTTAACACAATAAAAATGATATTCAAACGAACTACCATGGTTTTGTATTGTAAATAGAATGGTTATAAATAGAATTAGAAATAATATTTATAAATAGACTAATTAGAAACATAATTGCAGGAACTGCAATGACAGCAATTAATGATCGTCTAGTATAATTTATTCATTATTATCACGCCTACGTCTAAGCCTTAAAGCCGCTCCTGAAATGAATGAATGAATGAATGAATGAATGAATGAATGAATGAATGAATGAACGAATGAATGATTCGATTTGATGTATGGGAGAAGGTAATGGTATGATATAAATGCCGCAGAAACGGTCAAATGAAAGGCAGGGGATCACGGGAGACCCCAGAAGGCTTGTCGCAAGCTCTTTTCGAATATGATTATTTCCACATGGAACAACTTGGAACACCTCTTCCCGAAGGTGGATGGTGAGCCGTCAGACCTCTACACCACGAGTCACCAGGCGTTGAAGAATTTGTTATATTTAGAACGTCTGCTATGAAGTACGTCACAAGAATATAAATCCCTTACTGGAGGCACAAAAAGTGCGTTCAAATATTCAAGATCGCCATACTTGGTAAACTGAAGTGAAAAAACACTGAATAAAAAGTTTTACCAAAATGATAAGTATTTTCCTAATGTACAAATACTGCACTACCCTAATAAATTAAGACGGGAACTTCTTTATATAAACGTTTCTCGCATTTTGACAAGAACAAGGCAGATAATCGTTTTTCCTCGTGTAAATCGAATATTGGGCATTATCAAACAACACACAGACGAGTATTATACGGTAAGGAGATAACATTTCTTAACCCGTTTCTGAATTCACACAGCACTTGCCACTACAGCATGTTCCGAAATGTGAGTAGAGAGGATATGCATCTTGGAAACGTGCCTTCCACACACCGCAGCACGAGAAGAGCTTCATGTCATGCAGTGTTGGACATCCTCCGTCGGTCCGTAAATCAAACGGAAGCATCAAGAGACACAGAGGGGAGAGGGGAGGGGCGGGAACAACCGCGCAGCGCGTGGCGAAAGAGCTGCCTCCAATTGGACAAGCGCCGCGGCGCGGCGCGGCGTGGCGTGGCGTGGCGTGGCGACCACCAAAGCGATATTCTTAGCCCTTGTTATACGCGCTCGTAAAACGAGAAACGCAGCGCGCGCCACCGATTTACGGTGCGTTAAGTGCTGTTGCAAGCGTACGCGCGCACTCTCGCGGCACCCGCAACGTACCACACGCCCAACCCCGCCCACACACCCTCTCCGCTCGCGCCACACCGACGCGCCAGCGCCCCCACGGCAACCCCAACTTCTTGTTAACGCCACCCCCACTCCTTTGCCTCCGTCCCTCCCCGCATTCCCCCTCTTCCCCTATAGCCGCCTCCCCCCCGCCCTCCCCTGCAGCCCCTTCCCCGCCAGCCCCTCCCCCTCCCCTCTCACCTTCCCTCCCCTCTCGCCCTCCCCCCTTCCTTCTCGCCCTCCCCCTTCCTTCTCCGCCCTCCCCTTCCTTCTCGCCCTCCCCCTTCCTTCTCGCCCTCCCCTTCCTTCTCGCCTTCCCCCTTCCGAACCCCTCATCCCCCTCCCCCATTCCCGCATGCCCGCCTTCCCGCAGACCCCTTCCCCACTGCAACTACCACTCTTAGTTACCGCCGGTCGCCCAACGTCTCGCACTCTGCGCCTGCCTCGTACCAAACCCGCTCTGCCCGCCCTTCGCCTCCCTCCTCCACCGTCTCTCTACTCTTCCTCCAGCCCACAGAACTTCATACCTACCGTATCCCGGCGCCCCCCCCTCCGCCCCCTCTGCCGCACTAAACGAGCTCTTATTGTTACGCTGTGCGTGCTGACTTCATGAGAAGCATTTCAACGAGCTGTGGCCGTAAGGAAAAGTAAGAGGTTGAGGTTGCGCGGAGTTCTCGGGCGAAGATAGTTCGGGTGTAACATTTGTATTCTAAGAATACAGCAACTATAGGGGACGTTTGTAAATGTTGAAGGCAAAGAAGAACAACTCCGGCGAATAGAAAAACATATCTTAAATCTCGGATCCAACATAATCCAAGACAAGACACAGCATGTCATATCTGTCATTAGCAAACGGAATTTTAATCATCCCAGAAGCGTTCAGAAGAAGAATAGAATTAGGAATGAAGAATATTGATTTTTATCTCTTATTTACGTCACAATGAATTAACAACCGTACGTTTTATTTGACAAAATGTATTCAAGAAAATACTTCATTTCGTTGTTGTCATGGTCAATCTACTACGCGGCAATGATTACGCGGGCCAAGTTAACAATGTCACTTAATGAAATTGAAAAATATATCAGTTTACTATTAATGTGATATTCTTTGTTAGTAAAATGTTCTCCCAT